TAAAGAATCTGATTAACAGTATGAACTGGTGATTGTAATAGAATCAGGGACATAGAAAGGGAATGGACTGACTATTCTTGGGGGGGAAAGGGGTGTGGGAGATGCAGGAAGAGACTGGACAAAAATCGTACATCTATGGATGAGGACAGTGGGTAGGGAGTGAGGGCAGAGGATGGGGAGGGAACTGGGAGGAGGGGAGTTATGAGGGGAAAAAAGAGCAACAAATGTAATAATGTGAACAATAAAGAATTAATTTTAAAAAAAGAAAAAAAGAATGAGTGGGTTATAGGGCTATCATCAAGGAGTCAGGAAAGGGGTCCGGTGGTCAGCGGGCAGGTGATTTGCCATCAATACCCATGACTGACATCGTGGAAGGAAAAAGGGGCCCTGAAAAGGAGGGCAGAACAGAGAAGGCAGCCCCGTATCGATCAGGAAGGAGACCCACTACCTTCAGCATAGCCCTGGACTCGGGGAGGATGGTGGGGGCCATTGTATCAGGGCACCTTCAGTCTTCGGCCAGTCCCAGTATGGCCAGCGGCAGGTCATGACCTGGAAGGGCGGCCCCTCCACGCTGGGGCGCAGAGGGCCCACCACTTTTCCAGGGGCAGTCACTTTTCCGGTGGCAACTTTGACCACACGCCGGGCAGGGCTTGTTTGGACCCGGGGCCAGGGGCACTGCTTTGCCCAGTGGCCTTCATTTCCGCATTTGAAGCATTCTCCGGATAGCGTACATCCTCTCGTTGCACCCCCACCGCGCATGGCCCCCTTGGGGCCATGACAGCTGCCGTCAGCCGCAGGGCTGCAACCAAGGCTTGAGTTTGCAGGTCTACCATCTGTCAAATGCGGGCCTCCCGATCTGACTCTGCTTTCTCTTCACAGGCATTAAAATCTTAAAGGCCATGTTCACTAGATCTCAGACCAGGGTCTGAGGGCCATCCTCAAGGTCAGTGGGGGAAAAAACCTGAGATGCCTCTCAATCTGTGAGGCTGGATGTAGACAATGAGGCATAGACTCAGACTATGCCCTCAGTTCCTGCTGCCTCCCTTGGGGTAGAATGGGCACAGAAATAGAAGAGGCTGTTGAGGAAGGCAGTCTTTGGGTGGCCTGAGAATGAGAAAGGCTGTTTTGGAGCTCACGTTCTCAGGATTTGGGCTCTTAAGAATAGGGGAGAAGGTGGCTGCTGGTTAAGAGGGTCTGAAGAGAAAGAGCCGAGGAGTTTTTCAATTTGAGGAAGATCAGAAAGTGAGATAGAATGGCTACCCAGATATATCCTTCCCAGCTGCAACCTCTCGCAAAGGGAACTGCCCAGCCGCCTATGAATTTAATTGCTGGAGATTCGGTGGAGAGCGCACAGGGCGAGGTGGGCAGTTAGAATGAACATGAACGCTCAGGGGGAGGCGGGCAGTTAGAACTCTCAGAGAACTCTCAGAGGGCACAGTGTGGGGTACAGGTTTCCACGGCAGAGATGGCGGGGGGAGAGCGGGAGAGGTGCAGATGAATGATCCCGGGTGGGGTTGGCGGAGAAGGACCCCAGCCGCTTCTCGATTCTCAATTGTACTCAGAGGCCGAAACCTCCTGGGGCAGAGCAGAGGGAAGGAGGGAACAGGCTCCGAAGCCTGTGAGCGCGTGTGCTTACTGACTGGGGAAGCAGGTGGGGGTGGGGGAGGGTGGGGTCGCCCAATGGCTGGAGTTTCTGGCTCCTGCAGTGGCAGTGGCGGTGGCAGCCCTCGGGCGGAAGAGGGGGGAGGGTCAGCAGATAGAGGAGAAGGCATCACTGGAGGGGGGTAGCAGAGGGAGGAGGAGAGGGGGCGGCACAGCACCAACCCCAGCCTGGTAGACCACTTCCCAATGGCGGCGAATTGGGCAGATGGACTCACCAAGGACGCGGGCGCAGCGCGCGTGGCGGCGCCATGGAGGGGCGCGGGGCATCCGACTCCCCCCACACACATGGCACACGAACCCACCCACCCACACACACCACACACACCGCAGGCTCAGCGGCAAGCAGTGCGGCCACAGCCTGGGGGGAGGAGGGAGGACTGGGCGAGGAGAAGAGGCAGAAGGGGCTTTGGGGGAAGGGACGGGGACGCAGAGAGAGGGAGAGAGAGAGAGAGAGACTTGGGCACATTTCCCGGG